CGCACGCACGCACGCACGCACACACCACACACACACACACACACACACACACACACACACACACACACATACAACACACACACACACACATGCACACACACACACACGCTGTGAATAAGACTACGAAGGGAAGAATAAGAAACACGCGATTATGCCGAAGGCTTTGTTGATATATATATATATATATATATATATATATATATATATATATATATATATATATATATATATATATATGTATATATATATATATATTGTATATATGTAGGCACGCACATGTATGTGTGTGTGTGTGTGTGTGTGTGTGTGTGTGTGTTGTGTGTGTGTGTGTGTGTGTGTGTGAGAGAGAGAGAGAGAGAGAGAGAGAAAAGAAAGAAAGAAAGAAAGAGAAAAGTCTCTTGCTTGTGTATCCCATCAAAGGCGAGCAATGAGAAGGAACTAAACCATGAAAAAAAAAAAACGGTTCAAACGCACAAAGAAGAAACACAAAGGAACAGGATTTATGAGGAAGCCGCGAAACGATCGAGATAACGCAAGACCTCCTGCAGTATGAGGGAGGAAAAGCCACAAATCTCAGAGAAAATGAGGAAAGATTCCAACTGTTTAAATGTAAAAAAAAGAAAAAAAAAAAAAAAAAAAAAGAGTATTTGAGTCGAGTGTCTTTCCATGAGGAGATCATGAGGAGATCATGACATGACTCGTATCATGTGGTTTCTCGATTCCTCGGAAAATGGCGAAAAAGGATAGAAGAACTAGGGATATAAAAGTCAATAAAAGCTGAATTACGGAAGATAAAATATAATGAAGATTGATAGGATGCACCGTAAAAGATCCGGTAATAAAACTGGATATCTTTTTCGAAATCGAATTCGGAGAACAGAGCGAGTAAATAGAATCCTACAGGGATACGTTATTCGGGGACTTACGAGGATGAAATGAGTCCGAATATCTAATTAATTCGCAGTAGTCTGGATCATATAATCGGAATCCTTTGGGAATTGAAACATGAAAGTAAATTTTTTTTTATTTATTTTATTTTATTATTATTATTATTTCTTAATGTTTCCACATGGTTTACGAGAGATTTTCTAAATACATGTATATAAAGGAAATGCAAGAATCATAAGGGCGATTATTGAATGTGTGGTGTACAAGACAGAAGAAAAGTAAACCGGAAATGAAGCAAATTGAATGAAAGAGAAAATTAATGAAAATCCAAACTACTTACTAATAAAACTTTTTAATAATTTTTTTTAATTTTAATATTTTTTTTTACTAATAAAACTAATAAATACAACTTGAAAAAAGGAAACCATGTTAAGAGACACCTAAAAGTTACTTCGCCAAAGCACGAATCAAATTAAAAGATTAAAAAATTTGCTCTGTGTACCATAAGCTTAATCTCAACAACAATAGTAATAAGATGCACAGATCCACAGAGCAAGTACCCGTATGTGAACGAAAAGTCGACTCAAGTAGTTTTTTTTTTTTTTTTCTCCTGTGAAATTATTCGAAAAGAGAGACATTTTGACCGAAACATTTAGAAAAGAGAGAACGAGATAACTGAGAAGCGAATCATTTGACAATAATGAGTCAAGCAATGTTATTATATTTCGTCCATTGTTATCCTTCTGATCTTAGGAAACAATTTTTCTTCAGACTTTTGGAGGAAAGGACTTGTCAGGATCTTAAGATGCTTTACAAAGAAGAAAGAAGAATGAATAAACGTATGAAAAGAACCATAATGAAAAGAGAGAACAGGTGAAAATGAGAAGTAAACGGAAGGAGAGAACTATAGTGAAAAGAGAGAACAGGTAAAAATAAGAAAGACGAATAAATGTAAGAATAGAACCATAATGAAAAGAGAGAAAAATAAAAATGAGAAAGAAGAAAGAAGAGAAAGTAAGAAGAGAACCATAATAAAAAGAGAGAACAGGTAAAAAATGAGATATGTTTCTTTCATATGATCCTTGTGCAGTCCTTCCTTATATGGATTTTAATGTCGTCATAAATTCTATTTTATTCTGTTTCTCTTTCTTCACTTATTCATGTTTGTCTTTTCTCGCTTGTTCTTATTCTTGAAAATAAACAGGCGGTTAGTGGTATATGTAACAAAAAAATAACAAAAAACTAGGTTAATCGCAAACAAGTGGTATAGACATTATCTACATTTTATATACAATCATACATACTATTTACAAATAACTTTTCAACTATGATTATAGCTACAAAGTAAAAAAAAAAAAAAAAAAAAAAAAAAAAAAAAAAAAAATACGTAATTAATTTTTTTCTATTTACATTTTTCTCTTTTTTTCTCTGTTTTTATTTTTTATTGTTATCTGTTTTGTTAGTTTGATCCATTGATTGAGAATTCAAGGCATCAGCATAATCTGGAGCCTTAAGCTGATTAGATTTCATGTTAAGGTAATGGAATGAGAATTAATGATAATGATAAAAATATGTATAAGTATAGAATTATATTAACAATGAAAATAAAGAGAACTTATTTACTTTTTTTTCTTCTAAGTCAATCTTGGCTTACTAATAATTTTAATTTCTATTTTTTTTATGTTTATTATTATTATCTTTATCATTATCATTCATTCCTTCTAGGTGAAAATTACAATGGTTGTGAAAATCGATACAGATTCTCAGAAAAGTTATGATTCATGAACACTGATGAAAAAAAAAAAAAAAATGCATTTTCATGATATGAGGTTGTATAGGAAATATTTCATCGACTACACAGCGATAGTCGACCTTCTTTATCGAGTATTAATCAGGTTGAATAATAAATTCAGTTCCTTGTGAATTAGAGAAACTGGTACATCATCGTTGAGGACTAAGCCGGTTTAAATTTCTTTGATGATTGTTGATTGTTGCACTCTTAGGAGCAATGGCAGAGTGCAGGTTGATATAGATGTCTACGAAGCTGAACCATATCATTAAGTCTTTGGGTGAAACTTGATTTAGTTTATAATCCTGCCGGGATAATATCAGGATTCTTTTCACTGAGCCTCGAGTGAAGGTGTCATGTCACACGCTCTATTAAATGGGTCAATTTTTAGCCAGCTAATTGCCAGGCAAAAAAATGACCCAATTTAATAGATCCTTATTTGACTGAATGATAATTCGCTTCATAATCTTATCAGAGCATATTTGACCCACATATATACAAACGTATCTATATTGTTTGAGAGAAAGGTAAGTCACTGCAGAGTCCTGAGAGATATAAATTGATCCATGTTGAAGTCATCCACTTCATAATATTTTCTGGGTAAAAATTGATCCGTGCAATAGAGATCTCTTTGAGTGCACGTAATCTTGCTTGAATGATTCAGGTCTTGCTGGGAGAAAATTTTGATCCGTATCATAGAGCTTTCTTTGAGTGAAGATTTAATCATTCCATAGATCTGTTTAGGTCTATGAAACTAAGAACTAAAATCTATTTCACTGTTGATACACTCTGATAAAAAAAAAAAAAAAAAAAAAAAAATTATCCGTATTATAGATCCTTATTCGAGTAAACGTTGATCCACTTCGTAAGGTTTTTAGGGTAAAAAATTGATCCGTTTTATGGAGCCTTGTTTGAGTGAAACTTGATTCACTTCATAGTCTTTTCGGGTAGAAATTGATCCGCTCTATGGAGCCTTGTGTGAGTGAAAGACGACTCACTTCATAGTCCTTTTTAGGTGAGAATTGATCCTTTTTATGGAGCCTTTAGTGAAAGTTGATCCACTTCATTGTCTTTTTTTAAAGTAATAATTGATCCGCTTTATGGAGCCTTGTGTGAGTGAAAGTTGATTCACTTCATAGTCCTTTCAAGGTGAGAACTGATCTTTATTCACCTCATAGTCTTTTCGGGTAGAAATTGATCCACTATATGGAGCCTTGATTGAGTGAAAGTTGATCCACTTCATTGTCTTTTTTTAAGTAAGAATTGATCCTTTTTATGGAGCCTTGATTGAGTGAAAGTTGATTCACTTCATAGTCTTTTCGGGTAGAAATTGATCCGCTTTATAGAGCCTTCTTTTAGTGAAAGTTGATTCACTTTCATTGTCCTTTCTGGGTGAAAATTGATCCGTTTTATAGAGCCTTGTTTGAGTGAAAGTTGATCCACTTCACTGTCTTTTTTTAAGTAAAAATGGATCCTTTTTATGGATCCTTGATTGAGTGAATGTTGATTCACTTAGTCTTTTCAGGTAAAAATTGATCCGTTTTGTGGAGCCTTGTGTGAGTGAAAGTTGATCCACTTAATAGCCTTTTCTAGGTGAGAATTGATCCGCTTTTAGGAGCCTTGTGTGAGTGAAAGATGACTCACTTCATGATCTTTTTTTAATTAGAATTGATCCATTTTACAGAGCCTTGTGTGAGTGAAAGTTGATTCACTTCACAGTCTTTTCGGGTAGAAATTGATCCTTTTTATGGATCCTTGTGTGAGTAAAAGTTGACTCACTTCGTAGTCTTGTCTGGGTAAGAATTGATCCTTTTTATGGAGCCTTGATTGAGTGAAAGTTGATCCACTTCATAGTCTTTTTTAAGTAAGAATTGATCCGCTATTTGGAGCCATAATTGAGTGAAAGTTGATTCACTTCATGATCTTTTCTTAGAATTGATCCATTTTATAGAGCCTTGTTTGAGTGAAAGTTGATCCACTTCATTGTCTTTTTTTAAGTAAGAATTGATCCTTTTTGTGGAGCCTTGATTGAGTGAAAGTTGATTCACTTCATGGTCTTTTCGGGTAGAAATTGATCCGCTTTATAGAGCCTTGTTTGAGTGAAAGTTGATTCACTGCATGCATAGTCTTTTCTGGGTAAAAAAATGATTGTTCCGTTATGGATGCGTGCCCTCACTTCATAGTCCTTTTTGGGTAAAAATTGATCCACTTTTTGGAGCCATGTGTGAGTGAAAGTTGATTCACTTTAACTTTCCTTAGTAAGAATTGATCCATTTTATAGAGCCTTGTTTGAGTAAAAGTTGACTCACTTCATAGTCTTGTCTGGGTAAGAATTGATCCTTTTTATGGAGCCTTGATTGAGTGAAAGTTGATCCACTTCATAGTCTTTTTTGGATAAGAATTGATCCGCTATTTGGAGCCATAATTGAGTGAAAGTTGATTCACTTCATGATCTTTTCTTAGAATTGATCCATTTTATAGAACCTTGATTGAGTGAAAGTTGGTCCACTTAATAGTCTTGCCTGGGTAAGAACTGATCCTTTTTATAGAGCCTTGATTGAGTGAAAGTTGATTCACTTCATAGTCTTTTCAGGTAAAAATTGATCCGTTTTATGGAGCCTGCGTGAGTGAAAGATGACTCACTTCATAGTCCTTTTTGGGTAAGAATTGATCCGCTTTTTGGAGCCATGTGTGAGTGAAAGTTGATTCACTTTATCTTTCCTTAGTAAGAATTGATCCATTTAATAGAGCCTTGTTTGAGTGAAAGTTGATTCAATTCTCAGTCTTTTCGGGTAGAAATTGATCTCTTTTATAGAGCCTTGTTTTAGTGAAACTTGATTCACTGCATAGTCTTATCAGGGTAGAAATTGATCCGCTATATGGAGCCTTGTTTGAGTGAAAGTTGACTCACTTCATAATCCTTTCTGGGTAAGAATTGATCCGTTTTATAGAGCCTTGATTGAGTGAAAGTTGATCCACTTCATAGTTTTCTTTGGGTAAGAATTGATCCGCTTTAAAGAGCCTTGATTGAGTGAAAGTTGATCCACTTCATAGTCTTTCCGGGTTATAAATTGATCCATTTCCGCGCATTTTCCTGTCAGTATATATATTGATCCACACCACGGAGCCTTGCTTGAAAGTTGATTCACATCATACTACTACCAGGATTAAAACTTCATCCATTTCTTAGTGCTTTTCTCGAGTAATTACAAATAAATAATAAATTTTCATGATCATACCTGGGTAAAACATGGTCCGTTCCCACAGAACTTTGCTTGAGCGAAACTTCAGTCACGTCGAGGTTAGAATTGCACATTTCGTGGAGTCTTGCTTGCATCGAAGTTGATTCACTATCCTGCTCGTGAAGTACTTTGATCCACTCCAAGAAGAGTTGTCACAGGATGTAGAATTGATCAAATTTCATAGAAAGTTGTTCAAGCATAAATTGATCAATTTTATACAGCCTTGTTTGAGTAAAAATCCAATCGTTTCTAGGAGACTTGTTAAAGTGAAGGCTAATCCACATCAGTTGTGTGGCGTCTTGGAGCCTTGTTCAGGTGAAAAAAGAAGCACCTGAAGGAGCCTGGTTTGTGGCGTCATGGAGCCTTGTTCATGTGCAAAGGTAATCACATGAAGGACCATTGTTTGAGTTCGTTCATTTCACTTGATCCTCTTCATAGTGCTGCATGGATGCACTTTTATTCATTTGGTAGCCCTTTGTTGGAGTGAAAGTTGATCCAACGGCAGGAACGTAATATAAATGAACTCTTGTCCATAGGCTATAAGTATTGTTTGGCCTATTGTATGGGGTGTTCAGCTTTATAAGTCTTCACATGAGTGGAAAATACTCCATTCCAAAACTCTCGCTGCAAGCTTGTCTCTTTCGAACATGAAGATTCCTTACACAAAGCTTTCTTAAGTTGACGCAATTGTCTCACTTCATAAAGCTTTGAAAGTTTGAAAAAAAATCTTGTGAAGAAAGAAATTAATCCACATCGGAGATATCTGAGGGTGACAATTAACTAACTTCACGCAGTTCCGTCTCAGTGAAATGTAGTAGTCTATGGAAGGGAGAATGGTGCAGCATAAACACATTTTCTCCTTCTAGAAACGTTGGTGAAAGCTATAACCACTCATGAGTCTTTCCATATCCATAGCTGTAGCCAATATTTCTATCTCTGTGTGGTCTTCAAAATGTGCAGTTATGCCTTCTGTAATCAAAGGTATGCTCTGTTTCATATCTTCAAACGTTTCATATCTTCAAACGTTTCATATCTTCAAACGTTGAAGCTGCATGTCTCATGGCTTTGGGTGTGGAATCTCGATTTATATGTCCATGTTGATGCCATAGCTATTACATTTCAATTACTTTGATTATTTAAGACGAAGAGAACGAAGAAGAGGATGGTGTGGTGCCATTCCCAAGCAGGAAGTTTTATCATAGAAGCAGAAGTGTCACTTGATATCTGTTCTTATCAGCATTTCGACGGTCTCAGGTGGCGCAGGTCCTGTGAGATGCATTGTTCTTGTTATCCGTAAACTCATGCTTGTTAATCTGCTTATCTTGACTGTTTTATTCCGTTGAGTTAATTAGTTCTTGCTTCTTCCTCTTTTCTTCGTCTTCTCCTCTTCTGTGGCCATGTTTCGCCATTGTCTCGGATGGCCATCATAAGATCTGGAATAAAGGAAAAAAAATATGTATTGGGGAAGCTTAGGGAAGGAGTGCGAAAGAGAGGGAAGGGGAATGGGAAGAGGGAGAGGAGAGACAGAGAGACAGAGAGAGAGATAATCAAGAGCACAAAAGACAGTGGCATTAGGGCAGGGAGGACAAGCTGTTTTTTTA